GTACAGGAGTTATTTCAAAACTGCACATATATAACTAGGAAAAATCCCTAGGAGTGGGATGTGCTGGGTCAAATAAAAATAATTGTTGCGAACATTTATATAGTGCTTGCTATAAGGCAGGCATTGATCTAACCACACTACATATATTAGCTCATGTATTTAATCTTCTTAATAATCCTGTGAAGAAAGTACTATTATTATCTTTTTTTTTTTTTTTAAGGACGAGGAAACTGAGGCACATAGGGGTTAAGCAACCTGCCCAAGGTCAGACAGCAGGTGGCGGTACCAACCACCTTGGCTCTGAAGTCTATTCTCTTAGTCATTATGTTTTACTTTTTCAAGGAGTATATGTATTAGTATTTTAAATAGATATTAACAAGTTGTCCTCCACACCTGTTATGCCAATTTATTATCTCAACAACCTGACTGTACTTCTATGTATTAACTTTTCTGTGAATTTTCTATTGATGGCCTTTGCATATTTTTATATTGGGATTTTTGGTCTTGATTTCCAGGAGCTCTTTATATATTAGAGATATTAGAGTTTCATCTGTGATATGAATTAGAAATATTTTTCTTCTTTGTATATTGACTCTCTTATGCTTTTTTCCTACAGAAGTTTTTGGTATTTATGTAGTCAGATTTATCAATCCTTTGTAGATTGTGGATTTTGAACCATTTCGAGGTTATGGGAGAATTTGCTTCATTTTTTTTTCTAGTATTTTTATGGTTTAATTTTTTTTAATTAAATATTTGGTCCATTTAGAATTTATCTTGTATGATATGAGGTATGGCTCTGACTTCATTTTCTCCCAGATGGCTACCCAGTTGTTTTATTGAACAATGCACCATTTCCTCACTGATTTGAGATACTGCCTTATCAAATCATAGTATCATATCCTATATTCCCATATGTGATTTGGTTCTGTTTCTGCACTTTCTACTCTGTTCCATTTTTCTCTCTATATATGCATTAAATATTATCCTAGTATTTAATTATTGAGGGTTTATAATACACTCTGAGTGTTAGATTCCCTCGTGATTCTTAATGTCCAGAGCTTTCTTTATTATTCCTGCTTTTATTTTTCATCTGAACTTAATCAGTTTTTTGAGTCTTATTTTAAAAAAAAAACTTTATTTTTTTGGAATGTTATAAACTTCTTAGATGTACTTTCAAATCTTCCCAAAGACAATACAACTACTTAAGACCCTGTCTGATTCAACTGGGCATAAATGCTTGTGACAAAATGATGTATTAAAAAGCTGATTTTCTTTTTTTTTTTAAATTTTATTTATTTATTTGTTAGAGAGAGAGTGGGTGAGAGAGAGTGAGCAAGGGTACAAGCAGGGGGAGCAGCAGAGGGAGAGGGAGAAGCAGGCTCCCTGCTGAGCAAGGAGCCTGATGCGGGACTCGATCCCCGGGCACTGGTATCATGACCTGAGCTGAAGGCAGGCGCTTAACCGACTGAGCCACCCAGGCATCCCAAAAAGCTGATTTTCTTCACTGTGTAATGGTCATTGGCATTTAGTCATTCATTTGGCGATAGATGTCATTTATCCTTTCAGTATTTCTAGTTGTAAGATATTGGTCATCTCTTTCAAAGAAATTAAGAGGAGAAAATAGATTTTCAAACATGAAAACCTTCCAGATAGATGCTGCTTAATCTAAAACAATACTCTCCAAACCTGCCACCCCTAATTCTTACCTCCTGATCCCAAATTAACAGAATAATCCCATCAGCCATTGAAATCATCAATGCTCTATGGGTACTGACTTACACAACTACGACTTTGGGTTTCTGGAAGACCCTGTAGGTGCTTTATATGTAGTCCATGGACCAGCAGCCTTGACATCACCTGGGCACTTGTTAGAAATGCACACTCTTGAGTCTCACCCCAGACCTACTGGATTAAAATCCGTATGTTAACAAGATTCTGGGATGGTTCATGAGTGCCTTAAAGTTTGAGGGGAAAAAAAGATCAGTGGTTCTTAGTGGGCCCAACAGCAGAAGTGGCGTCACCCAGAGCCATGTAGAAAATTCAAATTCTTGGGTCCTACCCTACACCTAGTGAATCAGAAACCCTTAGGTTAGGTCTGGCAATCTGTTTTGACAAGCCCCCCAGTTGATTCTGATTCACAGTAATGTCTGAGAATCCCTGGTGTAAAGTAGTGGTTTTCAATCTTGGTTAAGCATTAGAATCACTTGGGGAGCTTTGAAACAAAAATACTGGCACTCAGGGTCTTACCCAGAGATGTCAATTGGTCCAGGTGAAGCTAAGAATCACTTTTTAAAATTAGTTTCTCAGAAGACATGTATCATATCTCACTGATATGAGGAATTCTTAATCGCAGGAAACAAACTGAGTGTTGTTGGAGTGGGGGGTGGGGTGGGAGGGATGGGGTGACTGGGTGATAGACACTGGGGAGGGTATGTGCTCTGGTAAGCGCTGTGAATTGTGCAAGACTGTTGACTCTCAGATCTGTACCTCTGAAACAAATAATGCAATATATGTTAAGAAAATAAAAAAGAAGAAGGAAGCGGGAGGGGAAGAATGAAGCGGGGGAAATCGGAGGGGTAGACGAACCATGAGAGACGATGGACTCTGAAAAACAAACTGAGGGTTCTAGAGGGGAGGGGGGTGGGAGGATGGATTAGCCTGGTGGTGGGTATTGAGGAGGGCACATTCTGCATGGAGCACTGGGTGTTATGCACAAACAATGAATCATGGAACACTTCATCTAGAACTAATGATGTAATGTATGGGGATTAACATAAGAATAAAAAAAAAACTTAAAAAAAATTAGTTTCTCAGGTGAATCTAATATCCAGCCAAGTTTTCAAACATCTGCTCTAGAAAATACCATTTCCCCCTCACATACAATTTATACTAAACAGAGTAAGTTTGGAGGGATGGAAGAGGTCCATTTTTCATTCCCCATATATTTACTGAGACCTTACAGTGTGTTAGGCTAGTTACCATGAAGATTGAAAATAGGTACAAAGCATAGTTCTTGCCCATAAGGAAACATATAATCTGTACTGGCAGAAAGACCTGCACATACTTCATATATAAATAATGACTTGAAAGGAACACATGGTTCAGTGCTATTGACTATAATTCAATAAACCAGTTACACATATCCTATCACTGCTAGGTCAAACTCATTTCTATCCTTTTTAAAAGAAGAGTAAGATGAAGGAAATGTAGTTGGAAAATGGTGAAGAAACAATTTTGAATATAATTAGCAATCAGCCCTTAGACAGTTGAACCTGGAGAAAGTGGTGGACAAGGTCAATAGCCACTTCAAAGACTAATTTATGAGCTTAAAGATTGAGCAAGTCAAAAATGCTTTCAAGTTTTCTCGCTGGCCTAGCAAAAAATTATGCTATGGAATCACTGTCAGTCAGCTCACCCCAATATTGTTTGTAAATTAAGTTATAACTACGAAGAAAAATAAGCGATTAAGAAATCAGCAATTAATGAGTTTATAATAAAGATCTTTTCACCTTTATTATTAGAAATATAACTTTCTTTTGGCTTCACAATTCGCCTCTCCGTCTAGACTGGCTTCTTTTGAGAACATGTTTAGAAACAAATGAAAAATATTGTTCTAGTCTGGGAGAAATTACTGGTTATAAATATTTTTCACAGATAATGGACTGTTGAATTTATATTTTTAAAGGAGCAACCAAGCAAAATTCAAAATTTCATATATTTTATGAAAAGTACATTAACATCTAAAATTGGGTCAAAAATGTTGATAATTCTTTTGCATTCAGCTATGTGTTTTGAGAATTCAGCTGAATATACTACATCCATTCTTCTGTTCTATTATTAGTTACCAAGGCAAGGATGTGACCATAATCCTTTAAGACTATAAAGGGAGTTTCTGAATTAAGAGAAAATCACAAATGTTCATCTACCTCCTCTTTCATTTCTACGAAAAAATACTTAGAGGTTAGAGCAGGTTAGAGCATTTTAAATAATACCATTTGAATTTGGAATAGGTCTAAGGGCATCCCCATGTAATGTATTAACCTTTCCTTCATATTTGAAAATGACCTCACATTAGTAAGTAATGAATTTCAAGCTGGTTCCCCCAAGAAGGATGGCCATTCTTTTCTTATGTCCATGGGCATGTCCACTAGGAGTTGGGCTGATAGGATCCGTATGAGTGCCCATGAAATAGAGCTAAGGCTACTGGCTCTAACAGATTCTGAATCCATCATCTGGGATAGAATTTACTCTTGAAATGATCAGATAAGAAAGGGAGGGCATTTATTTTTCCCATTTTATAGATGGAGAGACTAAAGTTTATATCATTTGCACAGAATAAAGGGTGGTATAGTGATTACAGTTGTGGTTGGAAAGGTAATAGAATCACCTGGATAATTAAAAAGACAAAACAGGGGGCGCCTGGCTGGCTCAGTTGGTTAAGCATCTGCTTTTGGCTCAGATCATGACCTTGGGGTCCTGGGATTGAGCCCCACATCAGGTTCCCTGCTCAGTGGGCAGTCTGCTTCTCCCTCTCCCAATTCCCCTGCTTGTGTTCCCTCTCTCTGTGTTCCCTCACTTGCTGTCTCTCTAATACATAAAATCTTAAAAAAAAAAAATTAGTGGAATAGGGGCACCTGGGTGGCTCAGTTTGTTAAGCTTCTGCCTTCGGCTCAGGTCATGATCCCAGGTTCCTGGGATCGAGCCCCGTGTCTGGCTCCCCTCTTGGTGGGAAGCCTGCTTCTGCTCCCTCTGCCTGCCACTCCCCCTGCTTGCGCTCTCACTTTCTCTCTCTCTCTCTAATAAATAAATTAAATCTTAAAAAAAAGAATTCGTGGACTAATTCCCCTGATTCTTCAAAGACCAGCAAGGGATAGGACGTTTGTTTTACTCAGCCACGTGGCTGTAATGACGTCACCATCTCGAAGGAAGTGATCTCCAGCCATTTCAAACAAAGGCACATTCCAGTGCTTGGAAGAGATTATTAAGTAGCACTTACGTACCTGTTCTGGGAGAACGTCCCCCCTTTTTTTACTGTGAAGTTGAAGATAAGAGTCCGTTTTAGGACTAGGTAATCCCAAAGTCAGCTTGTTTTTTTCCACGAAATATTGTTTGGACTTCCTTCGCTGACGGCCACGTGATCCTGGCAGGAAAACCTCATTATGTGAACTTGAACTCTTCAAGTAATGAGAGAGGTTGCTTGACTTCTCCCCCAGATCACTGTCGCTCAGCTCTGAAAATGGCCGGCTGTGATGGGCACCACGCTCATAGTTTGGGCTTAAAAATTCACTGCCAAACAAAGAGGCAACGCTCTGTGGGCTACTCTTGCGTTCACCTTTCTCCCCCGAGAGTTCCATTGAGGGCTCCTTGGAAGGGTACAGTGGATCCAGAGTCAGATTTTCAGTAGAGCTGTCTACAGACTCTGATAATGCTTCCATAGTCAACAACTTCCTCTCCTCTTTCTTACTCTTCCAGCGTGGGTCATATCGGAGGTCCGAATATTTGTCCTCGACTGGTTGTTGGCTGCCCAAAGCAGAAAGGAAATGTCAAATCCTTAATCAAAATGAATTTACTCATTATGTTTAGTCATCTTACTTGAATCTTTCTCCTATAATTTTCCTTTTACTAGCTACGTGTTGAAGACATAACTGAGGCTCAAATTAGGTGTACGGAGTATACATAAGGGCAAAAAGGTTTTAATTACAAGTTCATTAAATTAGGGAATAAAAATGGGGAATAGTTAATATAAATGCCCCAAAACAGCTGAAGATCACATGCCAGTGGTTCAAGGGATGCTATTACTTATGCACACCTTAAGTACTTCAGCTAGTGAAGATAAAACTGATTTCACATTTTGGCTGGTGACATACACGTTTTGGTGCTTATCTAGGAAGAAAATGCCATTATTGCCTGGATGATAGTTTCCTTGGTCTGCTTCTGCTGTGAGGGAAAGCAAGATTTATCTCAACTGAATACCTACCTAGGTTTATCCTCCTTTTAAGTATTTTGCTTTTCATTTTGTCTTTGTAGATTTTATCACATGTGCTGTAGAAAGATCCCCAATGTTCAGAATCAGATGGTGGCTCACTGAAAAGTTCTTAGTTCGTATTCTTTTGGTTTGTCACATGGATGCACACAAAACAGAACACAGGTCAGTGTGTGCTCTTAGCTGTACGACAGCCCTATTTCAGCAAAAGGTTAAACATATGGTCCCGCCAGAGGGACGTGGGCTAGTCCATAATCAGGGCATATGACCCCAAATAAAGTCTTCCCTTTTCCTCATGACAATCTCAATTTGTAAAGCACCTCCTGGTCTTAACCAAAAAAAAAAAAAAAAAGCTGGTAATATGGCATATTTAATGGCCCCTTTGATCTTCAGAAGCTAAATGGGAGAGATTTTCCTTCCTTGAGTATAGTAGATGCAATCCTCTAATCAAAAAGAAAATGTAAATCACCTAGGCTTTTTATGCTACTTGATATTCCCGTTTACAGAGGACATAATTTTATGCTGGGTAAACAAACTAATGGTGCCCCTACTACTAATTTACTTCTCTTAATGTGGACCTAGATGTTTTTTGATTTGATGTAAAGCAAAAATAAGAGTGAAAAGACAAAACTCCCATGTCTTGCTAAACTGTCATTTTGATTTTTTAGTTCACATATTAAGATAGAGAACTTCTTGGGGCACCTGTGTGGCTCAGTCAAGTGTCTGCCTTCGGCTCAGGTCATGGTCCCAGGGTCCTGGGATCGAGCCCCGCATCGGGCTCCTTGCTCAGCGGGGAGCCTGCTTCTCCCTCTCCCTCTGCCCCTCCTCCTGCTTGTGCTCTCTTTCTTTCTCTCTGACAAATAAATAAAATCTTAGAAAAAAAAAAAAAAGAACTTCTTGGGGTAGGCTGCTCTTTCTTCACCAAGGGAAGAAAAATGATATTCTCTTCCAGCAAAATGCCTGAATGGATATTGTGCACATTTACTGGGAAGTGGGATATCAAACTGTGCAACTCACCCCACGCCCTAAGCACCATGGGTTACCTGCCTCTGGGGCTTTTGAGGAGGAGGTTTCTCCTGTGTGATGTCATATGAGATCACGCTATGTTTTGGCCTTGCCTTTCACTCGGCTCTCTAGGTCTCACTGGGCATGGAGTGGTCCAGCAGGGCACAATCTGGACTTGGGACTGGACAGTCCTGGGCTCAAGTTCTGGGTCTGTCATTCCCTATGTGTGCATGAAATCATGCCATCTTTTGTCTGTAATTAGCGATAAATTGTATTCTGTTTACTTCTCAGGATTGCATAAACATCAAAACGAGACAATGTATCTTTTTTTTTTTTTAAAGATTTTATTTATTTATTTGAGAGAGAGAATACATGAGAGGGGGGAGGATCAGAGGGAGAAGCAGACCCCCTGCTAAGCAAGGAGCCCGATATGGGACTTGATCCCGGGACTCCAGGATCATGACCTGAGCCGAAGGCAGTCGCTTAACCAACTGAGCCACCCAGGCGCCCGAGGCAATGTATCTTAATCTTATGTATATGTGCTTATTTCACCTTTCGCTATAGTAACTTTGCCTCTTCACCCACTTAAAGTTCTGGGCGGCAGGGACTGAGAGTCATCCTTCCTTCCCTAACTTCTGCCTGAGTACTCTACCCTGTGCTCTGGACAGAGGAATTAATGAGCATTTCTTAAATAACTGAGCCTCTAAAATTACTCGAGTCAAGACAAATGTAGCATCAGATATTAATTTTTAAAAACCCAATAGTAGTAAATTAGAATCTACACATGCAGAAAAGCTTCTTGCATTGGACCAAATTAGTGAATGATTTTAGGGCTTACCATGTAATGAGTTCAACATAAGGGTGATTGTTTAGGTGGGAAAGAACAGATTAAGGGGCACCTTGATCATATCTTCAAGCAAATAAAGATATGAAATTTTTGTAAGTGAAGAAAGGTGCTGTTTCCCCATATCCAATACATACTAAAGGGAAAAAGTAAACGTAACTGTCCTGTTCATTCATTTGCTCTATTTCACAGAACTGAACTTCTATCATTCCCTTGCTCACTCAGTGATTCTGCTGAGCACTTACTGAGCTAGGGGATACAGTGATGGGCTCACAGCCTCGTAGGGAATACAGACAAGAAAATAAGCAATATATAGAGCACCTGGGTGGCTCAGATGGTTAAGCGTCTGCCTCTATTCAGGTCATGATCCCAGGGTCCTGGGATGGAGCCCCACATCGGGTTCCCTGCTGAGCAGGGAGCCTGCTTCTCCCTCTGCCTGCCGCTTCCCCTGCTTGTATACTCTCTCTCTCTCTGTCAAAAATAAATAAAATCTTAAAAAAAAAGAAAAGAAAACAAGCAATTTATGATGTGAGTGATGAGTGTCCTGACGAGGAGCATGGGCCTATCGAGACTCATGAGGGACCTCCAGTCCCATCTCGGGAGGTCGAGAGAAGCTTTCTGAAGGAAGTGATGGTTTAGCTGAGACCTAAGGCTAAGAAGCACAGGGAGCGTATGCCAGGCTGAGGGAAGAGCTTGTAAAACGGAATGGAGGGGAGAACGTAGTGCTCTCAAAGAACAGATTCTGTATAGATGAAAGGAAGGTTGAGCGTTCAGGGTGAAGCAGAGGTGAGATCTTGAAAGGCTCTGTAAACTCCGTGAAGGAATGTGGCTTACCTAAATTAACTTGAGAGTCTGGTTTGGAGCAAAAATAATTTAATTAGAGAGCAAAGATGTTAGTGAGACATCAATACTTTTGGATAGCCCAGGTGATGAGTTTTTGGAAAGGATTATCTACAGGGGCGTTTTTGTTTGCTTGTTTTTTGTAAAGTCTTAGAATAGCCAGCCTTCTTCTTTGCACTCCTTAAAGCAGGGTTTGGCAGCCTTTGAATGTGAGTATCCCACTGGGGATCACTCCTCTGTTACTTAACCGGGGTGGGGGGACGTGGAGTGCTAACTTTGGAAAGATAGTCCATATTGCATGCCCATTAGAGAATGCTGATGGTGAATCTCCAGTTTTCCTTAGAAGAGCCCAATGAGGGAAGTATTATTATTATCCCCATTTAATAGATGAAGGACCTGGAGCTTAGAGAGCTCATGGGACTTTCCCAAGGTCACAGAGCGAACAAATGGTGGAACCAGGACATAGACCCTGGCAGTCTGCCCAGCTCCTGTCTGTGAGTTGGCCTGTATTATGCAGCTATTCCCATAGGTGGTCGTGGAGCAAGGCCTGCCTTCTGTGAGTCAGTGAATCGGTCAGTCGGCCAGTCAGCAAATAGGCCCTGAGCAGCTCCCTGGGTCCTAGCCATTGAAGCATGGTGAGCAAAACAGAAGCAGGCTGGTGGATCTTACCTGTTAGCAAGGAAACAGGCTTTATGCGCCAGCTCTCATGATCCAGTAATAAATTAGATGTATAAAGAAATGCAGCATATTATGGGTATTTAAAATAGGAGGGCATAAGCTTGCTCATCACTGAAAATATGTTAACCTCTTATTTCCAGATTCAATTGGCAGATGATATCTCAAAGTCCATTTCATTTCTATACTATGATCCTATGATAAACTCACAGAAGAATCAATAGACAGAAGAATGCTTATTATTTAAAAACATAGGTAGTCTTTGGGGCGCCTGGGAGGCTCAGTCAGTTGGGTGTCTGACTCTTGGTTTCAGCTCAGGGTTGTGAGATCGGGCCCCACATTGGGCTCTGCACTCAGCACAGAGTCTACTTGAGTTTCTCTCTCCCTCTTCCTCTGCTTCTCTTCCTTCCCTCTCAGATAAATAAATCTTTAAAAAAAAAAAATAGGTAGTCTTCAAGGATTGAAGGATATGATTTCCCTGATTCCGTCTCTGCAGTTATACTAAGAAAACTGGCACTCACAGTGGTCATCACATTTAACCAGCACCTGCTGATAATGGCATAATGTCTAGTCATGAGTATAGACCTTTCTCGGTTATATGTCATCTCCGTGGTGCTCTTCTTGCCTGAATAACGACACGGCGTCTTTTGGTTCTGATAAATGGTACAGCAGGGTGCCTAAGGACAAGGGGCCTAGGATCAGACTGCCTGTACTCGATTCCTGGTGCCACCAGTTACTGTGTGGGCATGCGCAAATTATTTAAATTTTCTGTGCCTCAGCTTGCTCATCAGTGAAATGGGGATAACAGTACCCATCTCACAGTGCTGTTGAGAGGATTAAGTGAGTTAATACATATGAATGCTTACAATGAATTGTGTCCTTGACACAGAGTGAGGATCCAGTGAGGGCTAGCTATGACCGCCTCTGTCTGTGAGCTCCGTCACCATTCTTGACTTGCCCTGTGTTACAGTCAGTCACCATAACACAACATTGTCGTGTATTGTGCTTCCTGCTGGTGGATCTCAAGGGATTCTTCTCTCCCTGGGGCTCAAGTTATTTCCAGGTCACAAAGCTGTGTTGTGATGCACTAAGGGGCACCTTCGTGGCCTGAAGGAACTAGCACTTATCTTCAAAAATCCAATTTTTGTTACCATGACTTAGGCACCTGTGGAC